GAGGCTCGATCCCAGCACCCTGAGATCATGACCTGAGCCGAAGGCAGACACTTTAACAGCCGAGCCACCCAGGTGCTGCTCCACGCTTTTCTTGAGAGCGAGAGTGCGTGCGTGCACAAGGCAAAGGGAGAGGGAGAAGCAGACTCCCTGCTGAACAGGAAGCCTGATGTGGGGCTTGATCCTCGGATCCCAGGATCATGACCTGAGCCAGAGGCGGACGCTTAATCAACTGAGCCACCCAGGTGCCCCTGAAGTCTGTTTTTCATAAACACCCTGGTGGTGCCTTAAGAGCCACTGGCAGGTCAGCACTTGCCCACCCTGGTTACACATTGGTGCCGCCCAGGGAGCTTAGAAAAGCATCTGTTGCGGATGGTCAGGTCCTGAATCAGATGCTCTGAGTCTGCACTCCCACTCCCCAGGCGATTCTAAAGTGTAAGCGGCTTCCAGAAAAGAGGGAGTGACCAGGATAGCGTGCACCAGAATCTTCGGACTGTGAATGAGCCCAAACCTCTTCACACTCCGCAGGAAAAGAGCAGGTGCTCATGACCTGTGTCGAGATATTTCTTCTCTCACGGCTTTAAGTAAGCCGGCCTTTGATTTTACAGGTCTCACATTGGTCTCCGGCTGTCCTCTTTTGCACAAAACTAAAATACATTCTTTTTACAGCTTAGATTTTATAAATTTTACAATTGCCTCATGGCCTGCCCTGGCATAATCTGCAGAGATGCCTGTGGCAGTGGCTCTGGAACTTTCCTGGGCATCAGGATCACCTGGCAGGCTTGTGAAAGAAGCCTACTGTGCCTGCCCCCGAGCTTCTGGTCATTTCTCACAGGTGCCCAGGGGCTGCAGTTGCTGGCCAGAGGCCTGCACTTTGCAAGTCCCCGCTCTGGGACTCAGAACAAGGTGTTGGGGACTAAATAGAAGAAAGGGGGCTGTGGACTCAGGTTAATACAAAATACCGACTCTAATGAGGCCTGATCTCTGACGCTGGAAGTTTTGGAACAGCAAACTGGTCGTGAAGGCTTGAGATGTAATGCAGGTTTCAAACGGGGGCGCCTGGGGGCTCAGTGGGTTAAGTACCTGCCTTCAGCTCAGGTCATGATCCTGGGGTCTGGGATCAAGTCCCACAGCCGGTTCCTTGTTCTCTGGGAAGTCTCCTCCTCCCTCCTCCTGTGCCCCTCCCCCTGTTCCTGTTCTCTCTGAAGAAATAAAGAAAATCTTAAACAAAACATTGTAACTATAGTGTGTGATGCTGGGAGGGGAGGACACAGGAAAGTCCTGGTTGGAATTCTAATGAGAACAGGTCTTCATTGGGATTTACATTGTCAGTTTGTGTCTGTAGTGTTTTTGAGTGGCAAGTAAAGTAGAATTCGGGAGTTTGACGACTCACTGCCTCTTCATCCTAAGTGGGTAGGGTAGTGGCCCTGAGTAAGATGGACCACCGTGCGCTATTTAATTGGGTTTGCAAAGGGATCATTTCCTTGGCACACACCAAAAGATGCCAATAATAGTAATTTGGTTTTGCCCCTGAAATGCTATCACATGCAATAAGTTTTCTATGTTTAATTTTGTAATTTATTGATTATCTTTTTTTAAAAGAGCAAAAAAACATTGTTGGTCCCAACACCGCGACTGAGAACGGGGTTATTTAATAAGATCACTCCACCTCCCGGGGCAACGAAAGACATCTTGAGAACATGTGCCACCTCTCAGGTAAGCGCAGGAGCCGCCTCACCACAGGGGAGCACGGTTGTCAGCCAAGACATCTGGTGAGTTAGAATGGGTAAAATACACCGCAAAATCGAAGTTCGTTTTTCACAAAGCCAGAGGAGTAGAGATGGGGAAGTGTTCAGCAGTCCTGTCAGTGAAAGAGCCAAGGAGAAAACCGTGAGGGCGTGTCTTCCGTCTGAGTCACCCACTTTCTCTTTTGTCCCAAGTTAGCAGATTGTGCCCTATTAAATTAAATTCCCCATTAAAAATGAAAACAAGTTCTGTGGTGCTCTGGCGCCTTCGGGTGTTAACTTGTGCCATGGTCCGGTGGTTCATAGCATTTTCTTAAGTGCCACCAGAGCAGCTGGGGACTCAGGGATTTCCAGAATACTGGAACTGGAAATCACCTTGCCAGTTCTGAGTAATGGCTTTAGTAATTCAGTTCTGTGGTCTTCTCGAGTGTTCACAATGTGGTAAAACTAAAGTTTGTCGATACTACATTAGGGTGCCCTGTGGGGGGATTTGTCCTGTGTCGTGCAGATAAAGAAATAGAATTCGGTGACTTTTTTTCACACTCCTAGAATAGACCGCAGGTCATTTCATTTCTAATCTATTAGGAATTAAAAATAGGGCATCGAGATACTCCTTTTTACAAAAGATTTTCCGCTTAGGTCTGATATTTAAAAATTGAATGTTTATATTGTTATTTATTGATAACCTTTTTCCAAAAATACAAAAAAGATTGCTACAGCTTTCAGAAGTGTGTGTAATAAAGTAAAACAGTCAAATATATGTAGAAAGAAAGTGCGAATGGAAAATTAGAAAAATAAGACAGTCATGTTCTGGTCGGTGTCAACAATGCAAACTGTGTGATGGCCTGCAGCTGGCCACACGGGCCACACACAGGAGCTGACATTTCCCAGAGCCGGCAGGGAGTGTGGTGAGCGGCTCACGAGTCGCAGGTTTCGGAAGTACCAGCGCTTCCCTTCCTGTCGTGGTTGAGGTCCAGGTCAGATGTATCTGAGGGCCCATCGCAGGGGCCTGTGTCGGGTGTACTTGTCTGTGTCGCCCTTAGCAGCGTCCCCTCTGAAAGGCGAGCGCCGTGGTGTGTGCTGGCAGCGGTTCCCTGTACTGCACTGGCCGGTCCCTTAAACGCACCCCCGCAAATGTGGCCGGGCCTTGGGGAGAGCCAGGCCCGCTCTCGTGACTGAACTTCACTAAGGGCTCAGCAGCAGAGTTCGGGCTCTGTCGGCACATAAGATACCGGAACCCGAACAAGACGTTTCCGTTGTCTTGGTGGCGCAGGGAGAGAGGCTCTTAGGACCACGTCTGTGTGCAGGTGTGGGTCCTGGTGCGATCGTTATTTACTCTGCCAGAGCTTAGTGGCAGAAATACTGTCCCCGTGTGGGTCAACTCTAGGAGACTCAGATATGGCCTTACTTTTTGGCAGAGAAATCTCTGAATTTGTCCCTTGACAGCCTTTGCCTCCAGCACGTCTCAGCTGCCTTTGTGGTCTTGGTGTTTTTGCATTTGTTCTCTAACCAGGAGTCTTCCAGCAACCGCCTCTCCGGGCACACAGAAATGTTGGTCAGCTGAGTTTTTGTTGAGTCAAATGGGACTTTGGGGAATCAGGGAGTCTCCTGGTTGCTCACACTCTGTCTGGCCAGCAGAGCAGGTGAAGCTGACTTTTGGAGGGAGGAGGAAGTCAGATGGACAGTTTTAACACAGGTTAAAAGCTCACCAAGGCTGCCGGGCACCAAGCCCTTTAAAACAGGGTTGAGGATGTGGGCGGACCTTCCCACCGTGGGGCACAGTGGGCTGGTGACTGGTGACTCCTGAGAGGCCCCAAACCAGCTCTCTGTACTGATCCCATAAGTGGCTTGTCATGTACTTGTAGACGAGGCATTATACCATATGCGGTGACCCTCCCGTGTCGGGCAGAGGTCTGCACAGAGGCCGGATTTGGCTCTTCGATTGACCTGTAGTTCTTGTTATCTGAGACTCATGACCATATCAGCCTCCCTACTCTGTAAATACAAGCATCTGTTCATTAGTGTAAACGTGTGTACTTGTGGTACATTTTGGTTGAACTAGTCCTATTTCGGAAGTGGAGATGCTACCTTTGAAGGTAATAGCCCCGGGATTTCATACGTCATCTGTCCCACACATTAACTGCCCACGTCTTATGTGCTCAAATGCACTACCTCCGTGATCTCCTTGCCTCCCAGCGCCAGGCTGACAGGGCAGCGGGTGACAGCTCTGCCTTAGGGGTGAAGAAACGGAAGGTCAGCTTCCTCCTCTCGAGGTCACAGGGCTAAGGGGGACCTGGACCCGGTTCTCCATGACTCCTGTGCCTGTGGTCTAACTGCTATGCTCTTCTGCTGCGTGGGAAGAAATGATTTGCTCGGTATTGTAAACTTAACATCTTACTCATTTGTGCTCTCAGTTCCAAGTGGGATCTCTCCTGCGGAAGAAATTTCGGGAAATTATCCTACGATGGTTTCTGAACCAGGGTCTTCCTAAGTGCACTTCTGTGCCGCTGCAAACTCGCTGTCGGGCGAGTTTGCTTCTCGCAGGAGGTTGACCCAGACCCGGAATGCACCTCGCCCGTGAACTGCGAGGTGGGACAGCCGCTCGCTGCCCAGGAAGCATTCAGGTCCCCGTCTGTGTCCACAGGGCGTGAGGAGCTACAGCACTCCCGTGGGCTTGGATTCCAGGGTCCTTGTGGACTTGGTTGTGGTGGGGTCCGTTGCTGTTTCTGAAAAAGGTAAGATTAAAATCAGAAACTCCTGGAGGTGACCTCAGCTTCACATTCTGCCGTGTGTTCATCTTTTAAACACTGACGGTAAGTAATTTCAGTTTTCTGGACACACGTCTGTCCTCTGAAGCCACTGTATCTCCCATTCGTCTTGAAAAATTAACTCGGTTCCTCACACTCAGTACCTTCACAGTATCGCCATTTTTCTTAGCGGGAAACACGAAGTCAGCTCCTCTCTCTTCAGGTGGTGAGAGGTTTCCTCTAATCTTGAGCTGCCTGGAACCGGAGCCGGGTCTGTTTGTAGTCCGACAGTAGATAGCTGGTTTGGAAAACCTCCAGTGAACGGAAAGACATTGCTTCTGTTAGGAAGCAGCAGCCTCTGGGCAACACAGGGTGTTCTGAGGCTGCGTGGGGAGGCCCAGTGCTGTGCCGCTCAGGCAGGTGAAGGGGGAGGGTGTCCCATGCTGCTGTCTGCCCTCTGCCAAGCCGCCTGGGGGACTTGGGCCCCTGTGGTTCCCCTGGGACCTCTCCCTCCGCCGCTGCTCTACCCCAGCCCGGGCTCGACGACGCTCTCAGGAGACGGTCTGGGTGTGCTGCTGCTTATACTGCCCCGGGCTCAGTGGGTTCCGGGACCGGTCGGCCGGTCACAGTCTTGGCTCACTCACTGTGGTTTGCACCCCTGCTGGGAAAGTGTTCCCTTTGCTCCTTCCCTCCAGGAGGGAAAAAGACTGTTCTCAGATACCCATCCTAACACTGCCCCTTTGGAAAATAAGCAGCTAAAGCCCAGATCTTCCTTAAAGAGAGGTTTCCCACAAACAGTTGGCGAGAGATGCTCTTAAGTCATTCGTTCCAAACCCTGAGTGTCGTATTTTTAAATGTTGGCCTTTGGTGCCTTCACCTGGAGCATGCAGTGTTTGCCGGCTCTCTGCGGTAGTCCCTGAGAGGTCGTAGTGCAGCGTGCTTTGCTTTCCCTGTGCTCCCAGTTACAACACATCATCTGTGTCATCAGGGATGGGTTCCCAGGAGCGCACGTTTCCTGGGTGCCTCCTGCGGGCCGGGTGTCAGGCCAAGGCGGTCTCTGTCTTGAGCCCACAGTGCCCGGAAGAGCAGACGCAGCAGCTGAACCCTGGTGTGGTGTGCTTGGTGCTGCACACCGACGTCAGCACGGACGTTGGGGAGGTGGGGTCAGAAGAGCCACCCTCTTCCCAAATGCCCAGTGTTGGTGTTTGCTTGTGTCGACACACGTGTCCTGCGTTCTGTGTGTGGGTCACGTTTGTCCTGGTTCTGTTTTCCCGGGAGAGGCAGCAGCACGTACAGCACTCTGTGCCCTGCTAGAGGACGCCCATCCGATGGGCACTTAAGATGTCACCAGGGTTTGGTTTTGGCTTTTCCCTTACAGATCACAGTAAAGTGAGGTGTAGTCTGTGGTAGATTTTCTCTGTGCCTTCGAGGGCCATCCGTGGCATGACTCCGGCAGAGGAACTGTCGGACCGAAGCGCAGACTTGAAATCCTGGTGGCTGCTGCTGAACAGCCCGCTGTGAGGTGGCCTCCCGTCCCTGGCTCCTCACAGCACCTCTCTCCCTGCTCCCTCTGCGTAGCTAGAATCATCAGACCTCCATGGGGACCGGTCCAGTAGTGAGCAGTGGTGGTTCCTAGGCCATCGGAGTGGCCTTTCATGGCGAGGGAAGGTGGTCATCACTCACGTTTGCCGCTTACCGGCCTGCCTCTGCGGACTGTGCTGTCCTTGGCCGTTTCCCCACCGCGCTCTTTCTCACGGTTATCAGCTCGCATGGTTGTAGGTCGGTAGTCGCAGAAGTAGGACGACGGATGAGAACGTCCGAAAGCGGCTCGGGCATCGGTGCCCCTGGTGAGGATGCTGATGCAGATGTTAAGCGGAAGTTAGAATTTCGGCAGCGTCACGGGCTTCCTGATGTGGGAGACTCGGCTCTTGTGGGAGCCAGGGGTACTGTCATGTTTCCCGTCTTGCTGCTTTCTTACCTGCTCTGCAGCTTCTCATGCACCTTCAGCTCAGCCTTCCGCAGGCCCCCCCAGGAGTCCTCAGTATGGGACTGGCTCTGCCAGACCCCGCCCTCTTCCAGGGACTGCTGGACTTTTCAGAAGACAAGGTGATGGCCTCTTGAAATACATATCCCTGATTTTAGTTTTTATTTCCTCTTCAGGATAAATGGATTTAAAAGATTTTGCTTTTAGTAGGAATTTGTTCATTAATCTTTTTAAAAACTACTCTTGCGGGGCGCCTGGGTGGCCCAGGTGTTAAGCGTCTGCCTTCAGCTCACGGCATGATCTCGGGGTCCTGGGATCGAGCCCTATCGGGCTCCCTGCTCGGTGGGAAACCTGCTTCTTCCTCTATCACTCCCCCTGCTTGTGTTCCCTCTCTCACTGGTCTCTCTCTCTGTCAAATAAATAAATAAATGAATAAAATCTTTTTAAAAAACCAAACTACTCTTTCATTGCTTTTAAATGTGAGCTCTGCTCACATAAACGCAGGTTCCGTTGCCTCTTGTAGCACGACTAAAAGGCTCAAGCTTGGCATCACCGTGCGCTGACCCCGGTATGTGTGCAGTGCCAGCGTGCCCCCAAGCCCCACTGTTGAGGGCTCCCTGTGGGCTTTCTGTACATTTCTAAGGAGGTGCCAGGGATATCGAGTCCAAGTTTCTGTTTCCACTACAACCTAATGAAACATTTCCTCCTGAAGTACTGATGCTCTGCGTGTCTCTTAGGCTGGAGAATTGGGAAGGGAGAAGGTTACGCTGATCTGGAATATGCCATGATGGTGTCGATGGGAGCAGTCAGCCAGAGGACGCCTGTGGTCACCATCGTCCATGACTGCCAGGTGCTGCCCATGGACAGGCCAAGCAGAGCTACTGCCATACCCCCGAGAGAGCGGGCGGGGAGGGAAGGAGACAGACACACAGGGACAGACTGGTGTCTGCCTTCATTCCACATCTGCTGGGAGTGGCGGTATCGGCAGAGCTGGAGCTGTCTGGCAGTGAAGCCTTACCCCATGAGGCTCGTGAGCCCTGTGCTTCTGCGGTGCGGCGCAGAGAGCACAGGAGCCACATTCCCCGTCAGCTCCCTCACCCACTTCTGTCTGACCAGGTCGTCGACATACCTGAAGCGCTGCTCGAGGACCACGACCTAACAGTGGACTACATTCTCACTCCGACGAGAGTCATTGCCACGGGGTGTGAGCGCCCAAAGCCGACGGGAATCATATGGTCCAAGGTGGGTCCTGTGGCCAGCAGTGGCCTGTAGCTCGGAGGCGTCTCCTCCTGTGTGGCATTCTTTGGCAGCTATCCCTAGGCCCAGCATGTCTGTGCATTAGAATCACCCGTAAGCTTTTGAAAATTCAGCTCCTGCATCACAGTCTCCAGACATGGGCCCAAGAATCTCCTTTGCAAACCTGTGGCATTTTGATAAGCAGCCAGGTTCAAGGTCTCCTGCGGCAAGACACCAGTTCTAGATGGCAGAAGGAACAGTCCACTCAGAGGACCCATGCCGTGACACACTGCTGGCCCGCTGGTTTCATCTCTGAGAGCTGTGTCCACCATCCTGGCCACGACAACCTGCTGTCTAATCAGCTTTCCTATTCTAAGTCTAGCTCGTCTTGCTGTGACCTGGGTCGCCAGGCAGTACCCACAGCCTCCGTAGGCTGATGCCTTTGCGACTTCATCTGCAGAACAGTCACTGGCATACGTGACAGTAGTCTACAGAGGGAGTCCTGTCCCAGAGGCCGCCTGTAGGTTATGATCCCGCCTGCTGGCAAGCAGCCAGAGTTACTGGGGAAACAGAGTTGGGCTTCATCTGGATTGAAGCCATTGTTCATGTCTTCCATTCCTTAAACCCGAGTCATCAGAGTTGGAAAGGAGCCTTCCCGTGGCCATGGAAAACCAGTCACATCCACCTCTGAGATTGGCAACAGAGTGAAACACCACGGCACAGTGGGCCTTTCCCACAAATGCCACAGGCAGGTGGTTTTGGGTTGCCTGGGGCCTGTGCCCCTTCTAGGTCAGCCCTGAGAAAAGTGGAGAGGAGGAGCATGCGTGACCTAGAAGTGAGTGGACGGGTCTGAGTGCAGGCGAGTGTCCGGGGGAAGGCAGTGGCATGCTTTGTGAACATTCAGATGCCCCTTGGTGTCTTTCAGAAGAAGATGGGTTCACCTTGGAATTTGGGTCCACGGCTTCTGGGTGGAGGCTGCTCCACGGGTCAGAGGAGCAAAGTGGCATTTGCTCACAGCGGAGAGGACAGGTTTGGGGAAGCCACACAAGGGGCTAGTCGCAGTGAGGCTGCAGGTCCCTCAGGGGCCAGCACTTCATACACGAGGGCCGACTGCAGCTCACCTTAGGAAGACGCCGAGTGGTCTCTCCAGAAAGAGAGAGAAAGACGTGCTGCTTTGGGGAATAGCCACAGTTACATCCCGCTAATTTTAACAAAAAATAGCAACAGATGATCTTACTGGTCATGTCAGGTGAGGAGACTCCTGTGTGTGAGAGGAAACCACATGAACCGGAGGGGCCAGCGACACAGCTGGTCACACTGTGTGCGGCCTCTCAGGGCCGGCGCTGTTTGTTGACATGCCAACCGTCTCACCCTCTTCCTGGAACACCTCCTTGCTAGTGAGGCCTAGGCAAGAATTACAAACTTCTAAAATGCCATTTCTCATCTCGGGGTCCTGGGTTCTTTGTTCTTCCAACCCTGGGCCTCCTTTTCCATGAATCTTGGGAAAGCAGCGACTTTCTCCAGCCCCTGGGGCTTCTGTTCTGGCCTTGCTGTGTGTGCAGCCAGAGTGAGTTTTCCTCGACACTGGGAAAACCATCCCTGAATTCCACTGAAGATCTGGGGAGGGGCAGGGGCAGTTCGGTGCTGGGGTATGGTATTATTTTGTATGGCATCTTGATATGCATTGACATATCCTTCTGTGATTTTCTACCCATAGACATCATTGTGTAGGTATTAGAATCCCAGAATTTGCTTCTTATGTATTTCGTTGGAATATATGGCATCACTGTTCCTTCTGAACACTGTAGACGCCTCAGATGAGGGCTGTGAACCACACACGGAATGTGATACACTTTTAACTCGTTCTTACTACACAAAGGTTGTGCATCGCTTGACTCCCTGGCCTTTGTCCCACATTCTCAGGGATGTGCCTGGTGTCCCCGTGTGGGGACCAGGCTGCTCCGGATTCCACTGTCGGCTGTAGCTACTTCAGACAGATGGCTTCCTCGACGCAGCGCCTGCTTTTCTCTGCCTGTGCCTTGTGGTTTTAAAGATGGGGACCAGGTGGGACAGTGGTTTAGAGTGAGCTTAGAAGCCACAGCAACACATCTCAGTCTCTTTATCTGTGACCTTGGTACACCCTCTGCAAACCCCCCATTTGTTTATCTGCGAGGTGGGGTGCTGTCAGTGCTGACCCCACAGGCTGTACCCACAAAGTGCCTGCTGAACTTGGCCACTTTTGCTGTTGGGGCCGTCACAGGTGTGACATGCAAGTAGGTAAGTGTGAGAAATGTGCCTGGACACTGTTGCTGCGGGCAGAATCCTTGGTTACCCTCTGAGTGGTTTACTGAGCCAAGACGGGGCCTTGCCCGTGTCTGTCCATGGCACTGTGCTGTCACCGTGTGCCCTTTACTGCCTCTCAGTGAAGGAGGAAAAGACTTTCCTTCCAGAAGGTGTGTCTGCTCCGTTCATGCAGGGTCCTCCTTTCCCTCGGGTGCACCTTCTGCCGTGCGCCGGGTGACCTGTAGAGCTCTGGGGGACTTGGCCATGTCTGAGCTACAGGGCCGCATGACTGTCCCACTTGAGAACTGAGCGCTCCCCGAGCTCCGCTCCCCGCTCCAATCCAGCAGGTCCGCCCTGGCAACAGGAAGCGCTTCCCCCAGGATCTCGGCCAGGCTGGCGCGGGGCGTGAGAGACCTGGCCGTGGGGCGGGTCCTAACCCTCTGGGCAGCACTTCCAGCTCGGGCAGTCGTTACGTCTCTGGGACGGCAATGCGATGTCCCCGCTTGTCGATAGCCACGTGTAAGGTGATCTGCAGTGGCTCAGAAGCCATTTGCCTGCATCCCTCAGCTCTCGCAGGAGCATGCGGACGGTGGCCAACGTCCCCGTGGCCGGTCAGTTCCAGGGCTGTGAGGTGTGGGGAGTCACAGCGGAGCAGCGAAGCCGCTGCTTGGGAGCCTGGCTGCCTGCCGGGCCCACACGAGCTCCCGGAAGGCAGCGGCAGGACGGAGCCCTCTGCGTGGGCAAGGCTCCAGGCTTTCCCTCACACTGTGGTTCCCTCACACTGTGGTCCCCTCACGTGGCCCCACTGGCTGAGCCTCTGGACAGCCGAGCCCCGTCCCTCTTCTACTGCTTTCTGCTGAGCTACAATGAGGCAGGGGGAAGGAGTAAGACTTACTTCAAGAATTCCCTGGAGACACGGTCGGGCAGCGGGGCGTGGCCGCAGCTCCGAGAGAGCCAGGGCACCCCGAGACTGCTCCTTGCCACCAAGGCCACAGATCGAAGGACGGCTTCCCAGCCCCCTTGCTCCCCACAGTCACTGGAAGAGGTACCATCACTGATTACAAAGGAGAGCAGTGGGACACACTGACCAAAACCTGGATGTCTGCCTTCCTCAGTTACTCTCTCCGTAGTTCAGGAAATGGGGTTCTGCCAGGGTCATTCCTTTGTGTGCAGACTCAGAGAAGCGACTTGGGGCATCCACCGCCGTGGGGCGGGTCTTTCCCACACGGTCACCAGGCCCTGTTGATTGACTTGTGGAGAATGACAGATGCCTTGAGGAAAAGGGCTTGGAAAAAGGACCTCTGTGAGAAACGGCCATTCTGGGACCTTGATGCTTGCTTTCCGATCCCATATGTCAGCATTGTGGTCTGGAAATGACAACCAGAGGTGAGCGGACGACGCCTACCCACACCTGGGCCAGCAAGTTAGGGTGGCTGATACTTCTTTTTGAAAAGATATGCTGGTTTTGACCCAATAATTGAACTTCTAGAAATCTGTCCTAGAGAAATACTTGCAAATTTAGATAGAGGTGCATGAGTACCCAGCATAATGTGGTGCCTTAAAGCGCCCCGACCCTGTAATTTAAGTGCATATAGCCTTTTTTGAGAGTGTTTAATGGCATGAGAAAACACTGATGGTATAATAAATACTAAGTGGAAAAAGCACAGAGTATGCACTCATACATGTTTGGTATATTATTTTATATTCATTATGCTAAAACATGTATAGAAAACTGATGGAGGGTGCCGGGGGCTCAGTCGGTTAAGCACCGCCTCTTGATTGCAGCCCAGGTCAGGCCGCAGAGCAATGGGGTTGAGGCCCACTTGGGCTGTGTTCTGGGGTGGAGCCTGCTTGGGATTCTCTCTCTCCCTGTCCCTATACCCCTTCCCCCACCAAAAGAAAAAACAGGTGAAGTGTATCCAAACATTAACAGTAGTTCTCTCTGCAAGTTGGGATTTCAGATTTCTTTTCATTCTTTTCTAAATTTCCCACAAAAAGTATACACTTTTATAGTCAACACTGTTCAGTAGAGAAAGCAGGACATTTGAAACCACTTCCCAAGGGCAACCTTCCGCCCAGGCGTGTTTGCGTCTGGTTCCACGAGGAGCCTCTTCTCTGCACACTCCTAAGTGGTAAAAACAAGAAGCCAGGATGGAAGATGGTTAAATGTGTACCAGCTCTTAGAAGTCATGTGCTTGTGCGTGGCGGTGCCACTGGACTGTCCAGGCTGCGTGCGCCAGGCATATGCCTGTGTGTGAGGTGGGCTGCGTGGGCCACTCATCCCCCTGTGGCTGACACTTGGGTGTGGAACTGAGCCTCGAGCTGCCGGGCATGAACTCGTCCCACACTTGGCCCTGAGCTGGCCCAGCAGGAGGGGACCTCACTGCTCTTGTGGGCCTGTTACGCTGCCTCTGCCCCTGGAGAGTATCAGGCAGGCAGAAGCTGTGGTTTGCAGCTGGAAGCTGGCGTCTTGTGGTGGCAAAGGTTTTGAAGTGATCATGTATACCAGGAAATAAACGGTTTTTCTTTTCTTTTAAGATTTGATTTATTTATTTGACAGGCAGAGATCACAAGTAGGCAGGGAGGCAGGTGGAGAGAGGAGGAAGCAGGCTCCCCGCTGAGCAGAGCCCGATGTGGGGCTCGATCCCAGGACTCTGGGATCATGACCCAAGCGGAAGGCAGAGGCTTTAACCCACTGAGCCACCCAGGCGCCCCTAAACAGTTTTTCTTTGTGACTTCCATGGCCACTTCCAATAGAACCATCGCCTTGATGGTGCGCATGGTCCGAAGCAGTGATGGTGTGTGGTCATTGCCCTGCTGGTCCTTCAGCACCCACAGTCAAAGCGTAATTACAAAGGACTAATGCCGGGACGCCTGGGTGGCTCAGTTGGTTGGACGACTGCCTTCGGTTCAGGTCATGATCCTGGAGTTCCGGGATCGAGGCCCGCATCGGGCTCCCAGCTCCACGGGGAGTCTGCTTCTCCCTCTGACCTTCTCCTTGCTCATGCTCTCTCTCACTGTCTCTCTCTCAAATAAGTAAATACAATCTTTAAAAAAAAAAACAAAGGACTAATGCCATGGGGGCTTTTTAGTAAGTGACACGTTTGACCAACCTTGAGTGAGTCCTGTTGTCATTAGGGGATGCTCTAACTGGGAGACACACACGTGCTGCTCAGGCGCGAACGGCGTCTGGACGAGTGCGCTCCGTGGCGCTCCTGCGTGCTTTCTCTAGAGAACGACTTCGCCTTGGTCATTGGAAAGTGCTGTATCTAAGAGTGTTTTCAGTCGGTGAACGACAGGTGCTAGTCTCACGCAAGACAACTAACAGTCTTGGTGAAAGTTGCATTTCACGTTAGAAATACTAACGGAGTTCCTGGTTTGTTGCCAGCAGCTGCCGAAGCATGTCCTGACATCTAGAATGACATTTTAGAATGGTAGGGATTCTAGAGATCCTCCCTCCCGGCGTCTGTGTCTTCTGGTCAAGTTAAGCGAGAGCCAGGAAAGGCAACAGGTTCAAGATTATGAAGCCGGTGGGTAGTGGAGGCAAGATTAGGGCCGGAGTCTCGTCCTGGGTTGGCCACGGTTGCCTTGAGAGTGAGATTCCTGGTCTGTACTGCAGTTAGCTTGTATTTCCAGGGAATCGGATGTTTCATTTAATCTTTAAAGAGAACGCATGTTTATAATTGACTTCGTAAGCGTAAGAGAAGCGTGGTTGTAACATATAAAAAATCATATTTGGTCTGTACAATGGGATGGAATACTTACAGAAAAGCAGAAATATTTTTATGTTTGGTTAACAGGCAGAATCTTTCATTTCACATGGCACACTTACAGAAGGTAACAAATGTTCCTAATTGCTAGCCAGGAAAAACAGCGTGGCCCTGCCGTGGGCCGTCCCGAGTGTGAAGCCAGCCCATTCAGTTTGGGCACAGAGGCCTCTGTGTCAGCTGAGGGAGCGCCGTTGGCCCCAGCCACTCCGCAAAGAGCACAGAAATGGCAAACAGCTGGGAAAGTGGCGAAAGCCACCTTGTGGACAGGGAGATTTTTCCATTTAGAACTTGTGGGCGCAGAAGCATGAGCTGACATTAAGCTCTGTCATTCCTTACCCAGAAAACATCCTGCTCTTGAGATGAGCAGTTTTACGTAAAAGTGACGCATTTGGCCATTTCCATTCCTAAAGATGAGTCTGTGTGCGTGTGTGTGTGGCGGTGCTGTAGACTTAGTTCATAATCTGTGCATGGTTAAGTCCTGCTGCTGTTCAGCTGATCACAGTCTGTCCGCGTGCCAGCTCGGGATAAAGTAGCTGCCTGTGCTGGGCAGAGAAGGATGTATTTTTGCTTCCCACGACACGCGGTAAATGAATGTCTGCTGCGTGAGTGTGGAGCCTTGCCCTCTGGGCTGGGTTTCCTGAGAACACTGGCTTTGGCCCGAGGGAGCCCCGTGGTTCCACCAGGCAGAAACACATGGGAGTTCGTACGTAGGGCGGTCACCCAGGCAAGAGAGCTCCGGGTGGGCACTGGAGGAGGCGTGGTGTTTGCCAGGGGCTTTGGCCTCGCTGCTCTTGTCTGCTGGTGTCACAGTGGAGTGACACTCAGTTTTTCCATAAAAGAATGTAGTCACGTTGCCTCTGATTATAATGGCAATTTTAAATTTGATCATCTTCCCTAATTACTAGATCCTAGTAACTTAAGACATCCTTAAGAATCTCATTATGACCATTTTAGGAGCAGTCGGATGGCTCAGTCAGTTAAGCATCCCATTCTAGGTCTCAGCTCAGGTCTTAGTCTCAGGGTTGTGAGTTGGAGCCCTGAGCTGGGCTCCATGTTGGGCGTGGAGCTTACTTAAAACAAAAAAGAATCTAATTATGACCAGTTTAAATCTGTTTTGAAAACTCTGAGAGGACACAGGAATCTGAACTCTTGAAGAAGGTGGAATTGGGGTGTGGGCAGGAGTTGGGTTGGCTGGACTTAGGTCATTTTTAGGATTCTTTGGGACCAGAGCCTCTCGGGGTACTGGCCCGTGAGCTTAGTCATCTTCGGATGAATCAGTTCAAAAGAATTGCAGAGAGTCAAGTGGAAGAAAACTTCCTTTTGCTTAGAAAAGAGTCGTTACATCTCCTGCATATCTCCATGGTGCAGACATGGTTTCTGTTTGTTTCTCTGTGTCTCAATAATGGGGAACATTAGAAGGAGCAGGTCTTCCTTTGACCAGTCCCTGGCATCCGGGCATCTGTGTGCTTCTCGGAAGACCCCAGTAGACAAGTGCCACCTGCAGAGGCTTCTGACGTAGCCGTGCTGGGAGCAGGGGCACTGTCCATTTGGAGAGGGCTCAGAGCCAGCGGGAAGGCTGCGCCAAGGTGAAGAGTGTCATCCACTTAGTGCTAGGAGAGAGAACCAGGTGCTGATGAGGGTCAGGAGCCTTAACATCTGTGAGAAGGTACTGGAATCGACTATTTTTAGGTGTTTCAGTGTCTTTGACTCTTCCTCTGAATCACTGATCCGTCACTTGGGGCCTGTGTGCCTCTTGTGGTTTCGGGATCTCTGAGCAGAGTTAGGGAAATCGCACGCAGAATTGCCGGGGACTCGCTCCCGGGGAGGAGCCGGAGCTTCTGCAGAGGTCTCTGACTCTCTGGCAAGGGTCAGAACTGTTACTCCAGTTACAGATGGTGCAGAGAACAACAGGAACCCTGTTATTCGTTAAGCTCTTTGTTTTTAGATGGAAGTTTTACCTGTCTGACTCATGTGCTGGTCTGCATTCTGACGCGGCCGTGTTTGCGGGACGTCCTGCGCTTGGACCGTTGCCCGCCTCTTAGTAATTGGCCATTCACAGGGTCTGTGCCCTAAAGAAGGGCAGAAAGCATCTCCGAAGAATGAGGATTGCTAAGAAGGACTAAAACAGCGCATTGCTGGGTCTTTTCTGCCGTGCGATTCCTCAAGTGACAGAAGACCAGTTCTGCCCCGGGCTCCACTGTGCAGGTTCAGCCGAACACACAGGGCCGGGCCGAGTGCGGCGGCCGCACTGGGCCGGGAGCGTCAGCCCGCACACTGCAAGCTGGGTCCCAGCAGCCCCTGTGCACGCGGGCCCCGCTTGTCAATCCCAGTTCTCGAGGACCAGGAACCGCCTCATGTTTTGAGGTTCTTCTACCACCTCATTTGTTGCAGGTTCCCCAAAAGCCAAACATTTCCTTTGTATAGGAATTCCGTGCATTGAGACTTAACGTTTTTTGGAGTGTTAGCTGGGAGCTCGATGACCCGTTGCTAGAAAGCATTTTCCAAAGTGGTGTTCTATTTCAGATCTGCCTTGTTTCTGCATTTCCGGTGACACCTTGAGAGGCTTGGTCCCTGAGAAATGCTCCTCCAGTGGAGGTGGGAGAAGGAGGAGGCCTGGGTGGCTTGTTAAAGAGCCCTTCCCACCCAAAGGCACAAGTTGGGAGGACGGGGCAGGCATGGAGGCAGAAACCCCCATTATTCTGGAGGTCACCAGGCGCATTGCCACTTGTGGCCGGGGAGCCCTCCTTCCAGTAACGTTGCTTACTGCCCCTTCTGCATAGGAGGCCTTCAGTTTTCTGCTTCCTGGGCCTCTAGGAGGATAGAGAAAACCATTCCCTGCCCGCCAGCTGCCGTGGCTTGTCAGGCACAGTCCAGAGGACAGTCCAGAGTGGCTCTGGGGATCCCAGATTGACTTAAGCTGGGGCAGTGTGGGGTCAAAGTGACTGATTAAGGCAGAGGGGTCCTGCTTCTCAGAGGGCCATGTTGGACCACTGGTGCAGCGTGGCAGACAGACTGCTTACCTGAGAAGGCGGAGGCCCCTGTGCGGTCCGAGTTCTCTTCCCTCCTGACCGAGTGTAGACGCGTGGAGAACAGCTGGAACTGCTTTGCTCTTTCAGATCAGCTGTGAGGTGATGGGGAAAATCCCCATACTCAGAAGCCTTCGTTGCCGAGAGAGGCAGGCTGGGAGAGATGTCACCCTTCAGGATGAGCCCCGGCACCTTCTGGGAGCCAGCAGCCACCTCCCCTGAGCACTGTCGGAAGACACCAGGACCCGCACCAGCCGGAATCCTGTTCCAGGCAGGGGGAGGATGGGCCTTCTAACTCTGTTTTCATCGGGAACCTTCCGCGGGGCACCCAAGTGAGCTGGAGAGAGCCCTCCGAGACCTGGGCACAGTCCCCCAGAGGCTCAGGTGGCAGGGGCCACAGCGCAGGGCCTTCCTCCGCTGTGAGGGCCCCTCCTTAGCCCCTCCTCAGCCACCTCAGGCTGTCTCCTGCTTGCAGGGCTTGCGTCTGGGGGCCGCCACCTTGAAGGTGGCGCTGGCCAGGCCGCAGAGGGCCGGAGACGTGGCAGGCGGCTGTGCGGAGGAGCCACGCCCTGACCGCCGCTCAGCTATCTCCGGCCTGTGATGTGCTGCTCTGGGCCCCGTGGAACTTAAGGAGCCTGTGCAGCGGGGCTCGGAGCGTTGCTGCCTGGGCCGTCTTGAGGCCAGTCCTTTCCGGCACGTGCCAGCCTCCTGTTACTGCTGGGGCCTGCTGGTGAGAAGGAAGGGGGCCGCAGCACGCTGCCGACTTGTCCAGGCCCGGCTCTGTGCTTCAGCCTGCCTGCTGGGAGTCACAGCCGCGCTGGTCTCTCTGGGAGCTCGGAGGCCGCGGGGAGCAGAGTGAGTGATGAACAAGTGGGAGTAGATGGTGGCAGCGGTTAGGAGAGCCTGTGCTCTGGATTTGGGAGGGGGTGGTCGGGGAGAAGGCCCTAGCAGGGATCAGGTGCTGAGCACGCCCTGCCATCCTTGGGTCCTCGGTCTGGTATGACTGCAGGGGGAGCTCTTCATACCGCAGAATCCAGGTTCCCCGGGTGCAAACTGCTTGTCACAGCTCGGCGCTGGTGTCAGCGATGGAGAGCCGGTGTGATGTGCGGGTGGCGTGCGTCTCACTTCCGTGCCCTCCTCACCTTCCAGCCGCCTGCCGTCTCTGCGTGGACTCCCGCACGCCCCGCTATCCTATAGGAGACACCGGTCATGGAGAAAGCTGTCCCAGCCTTCCTCACAGGCAGGGACAGAGGTGCTCACACCAGTTGGCCCAGGGCCTGATGTTTCTTGGGGTTTCCCTCCAGTTCTCTGTTCCTAAAAAACAAAACTGGATTTTAGTTGAACGACGCTTTCTTAACAGAAAGCAATTGATACTGGGCCAAAAGTCAAATGAAGCATTTAAGTGGCAAAATTTTAATTTTTTTTACCAGAGGGTCTTACTGAGCATGTTTTAAGCACAGTCATAGCTCAAGGCGGTATGCCCTGCACATACTTTCGATAAAACCTGGGGGCACTGTCTCCCTTTGCAGAAGCACTTTGTCATTGGTTTTACATGAAAATACTGTGCAGATGTCAGAAACGAAGTCTGCCCTTAGATGGCTCACTATGTGCAGGCTCCTTTCCCCAGGCATCGTGAGTAAAGCAAATGGCAGAAATAACTGAAAAACAAGGGGCGCCTGGGTGGCTCAGAGGGTTAAGCCTCTGCCTTCAGCTCAGGTCATGATCTCAGGGTCCTGGGAT